ATGTGTCGGCAGTTCTGGACAGGGTACAGCTAGTTATAGTACGGTGTATTCCTTGGCAACATCAGTCAGCCAGCTCAACATATACAGCAATAGCAAAAACGGCTATGCGGGCCAGGCAGGTGCAAAGTGGACAATATGTAAAACTGTCTTTGTTTATTTTTTCAGTATATCTAACAGATCCCAGGGACCGATACATCAGGCTGCACATTTAGTGGTGTCGGGGTCCCAGGTGCCGGGGCTGGTTCTGGAGGTTCCGAAGATGAGGCGACTACTTTGAAAAGCGAGCTCAATATTACCAACAAGAACTCAATCGATTTCACTATTTCGACTGATTCTTGTGAGTCGCAAAATGCCCTTATATTGTCCGCCAAGAAGCACAAGTACTAACATTTACATGTTCAAGCTCTGTTTGATAGACAAATTCTCATTTCCGTAGCACCTCCAGGGGCCAAAAGGATCAGAGACTTGAGACCGAGAGCGTCTGCAGCTTCGACCTCGACTGGAGGCAATAAAACGACAACCAATGCAACATATAATGTCACCATGACTGCTACATGGCCATGTTCTTCGGGAGCTGGAGTCGCAGTAAACCGTACGATCAGCGCAGCTCCATCTGATGTTGCAACCGCATGCCTAACGAATGAAATAACTAGTGGCCCGGACCCGTATGTCCAGTATGCTGTGAGTATATCTATTTGTTATTGAAGTACCCCAAGCTAACCCATTTCCCCCAGGCTGATAAGTATGTCTCATCGATTATCTCATCAGCAACCAACAGTCCAAGCCAGTCCGTCCTCCCTATCGGTGGCATTCCCGGCGGGCCTATCAAAAGTGAAAATTTAGACATTGGAAGCGTCCTTACGAATGATGCTGCAGGACCAAATAAATGCACTGTGAGCGATCGTAAGTTAAGCTTGCTCAACTTAAGACATCATCATTGACCGAACTTCCAGTATGCGAGTTGACTCAATGTTCCAGTATCCGGGGAGAGGGAACCGGTAAGATGACAACCCTTTTAAGAAGAACTCAGACTAATATCATATAGTGGATGCATCAGACCCCGCACGTTTCTTGGCCTTCAATTCTTACGCTACTTTGAGCAATACCCTATATCAGTTTTGGCGAGCACTCAAATTTGCAAATAGCGAAGAAATAAACAACAACGTCCAATTTGTCAACCTTTTTTACCAGGGCACTCCTCCAGCAGTAACATTCCAACAGTTGATCGGCACAGTTAGCCCGTTTCTTAGTCTTGCGGCCACTATCTCGGGACTCATCCCAGGCCTTGTAAGTTTCTTTCTACCTAGATAGTAGATTTTTGGATCGTTCATGCTTATAATTCCATAGGGGAAGCTTGGAAGTGTGATTTGGATCGCCAGTTCCGTTCTCAGTGAGGTAAATAGTCAAAAGGCTATCTCTTCAAGAGTCGCTACTCTTGAAGAAAACTGGCAAAAGTAGGTCTATTTTGAAATCTGTGTAACCATATTCTAACGTTATAAGGGCTGGTGATTTGGGCACTGTGATTCAACAGTACGTGCAAAACATGACAGCAATCGTCGATGGAATGTATAGTACCTTGATTGGAGATGTATATGGTCCGGATTATTTGAACTATTCAAGTGGAGGTCAATTCTTTGAATTAAAAAACAATTCGGATACCTACGCAGATACAATTATCACGAACACTGCAGATACATTCTATCTGAAAGCCGTCGAGTAAGATAAAACAAGTATTCTCAAATTATAATCATTGCTAATATGAATAACTAGCTGGGTTATGAAACAAAATGCTGTTTTTATTATGTTCGTACCATTTGGGCCCCCATTTGTTCAATACGACGGCAGCGACAGTGTGCCCCGCGGAATCGTTCACAACTTTTCGACTGGCTTTACTCAAAAAGATTGTGAAGACAATTATCAAGGAGGGGATAATGGTACCATTTTCACAATTTGCGATGCCGGTACCGAACATAAAGGGATGGCTAGAATTTTCCAGGTAATTTGATTCCAAATTTCTAATCTGCGATATTCCATAAATACTAATAACAAGTAGATTACCAATAAAGTCAAGGAAAACACCTATACATCAGCGGTCAACGGTTGGGACTCGCAATTCCAATTTCCAGCGGGGTGGACGTTTAATTTACCAGACGTCATGGTAAGCTCATATCTTTATAATAAACCATGAAATAATTACTAATAGAAGTCTAGCGAGGAGCGGTAAATTCTTTCGAGACAGGCGGCTTCAACTTTGATCTAGATACATTTCCTACGTCAAATATAACCGCGTTATTTGGCAGCCTTGCTGGCAACGCTACGCAGCCTGGGAGCTTCACCATCCCTGTTTGTTCCATCGCAGAACTCTATGAGAATCCGCCGAACGATGGCAAGTGGCATAACACGTATAACTCTGTAGGTAATTGGCCAGATGCAGCGACAGGCTATAAATCTCTGGATGTCTTCACAACCTTTTACGATTGTGTCTCGGCACAGAATTACAGAAATACAACGACGGGTGCGATGCCAGATCCGTATTCAGTAAGTCGATGGACAATCCATTATTCTATAGACACGTACTAATATCCCGGATAGTTTTTTATCAACAGTGGCATCGTAGACGGTCTCAAGGCTGGAATGTACACTGCCAACGGGCCTCAAAAACGGGATTCGATAAGGTAGATTCAGCACAACGCTCGAGTTTCTATACTTTATACCGAAATGATGTTGCCTCGATCCTGTTGCTCCCTCCGACGATAGATCTAGAATGTAAAATTGGTCGTATACTTCTTCTATAGACAGTTTTTGTAGAGAGACTTTTGTTTAGGTTCAACCAAATTGGCGTTAGGATACTCATGAGAACATAGACTTGTCAAAATAGGAAATGCCCTCATAAGTTTAACAATTTTTGGGTAGACTAATTTATTACCATTAAGTAATAATTAAAAAGATGACGTAGCTCCACTCAAACCCTGACTTCCATACTCTGGATTGCAGGCTGAAATGGCAGCGAAAGCTGAGGGGCGACAAGAGGCGCCGGAACTTCCTTTACGCTAGCCGGCTCGATGTAATCTTTATACCCATTGACGCGCAATCTCAATTTCCGTTATTCCGCATAAACAACCCGTCTCATTCTGTTAGTACTACCAAGAGGCTGGTGTACCTTCAAACCGTGCCACGAGTTGCACGTAATCCTATCGTCCCACCAAACGCGAAATCCGGGAAGCCAGCTATCCTGTGGCTCGAACTCAATGGTTGCGATCTCTTCAAACGGGTACTTCCTCTCGTCCCAGGCGACACCAAGATCGTCGACTGGCTGCTCTCCGAGGTTTTGAAGAAGCTGCGCACAGAAAGAATACGTGACTTTGTGCTTCATGTGAAAGTCTCGTGCACCTTGAGACAGGATATTAACCGGCGCATCGTCAGGTATGGAGACCTTTTCGAGCTTCTTCTGTTCTTCGCCTAGAGGAAAGACGCCAAGTTTTGCAACATAGGATCCAAAACGGTAGACAGATTGGGATACTGGGGCATGGCAACCACTATGACTGTCAGCTTCGGAATATCAAACAATCTTGTATCTACCTACTGTGTTGATGAGGAAGCTGAGAGCCCATGGTAGCAACATCTGCATCTACACGCTTCCCTTGCTCCTCTGCAAACTTAGCAATATCATTCCAATTCCGTTCCAGGCAGTCGGCAATTTCATTAGTGGTGTTCGGGTCACGCAGCTCTAGAATTGGGTAGTTAAAAGTCCAATCTTGTGTCTTCTTATCCTCTCCCCAGATCTTTTCGCCTTCGATGCCAAAGATCTTCATACCGATGCCACGGGGGCCAGGTACATTGTCTGGCACAATCTTTGGCGTAAGGATGAATAGCGTATATTAATGTCGTAATCGCCGGGCTTTGCAAACATGCCTTGTGCAAGATGTGCTGGACGGTTGGCTTTGACTTTAAATTTGCCCATGACACACTTTAGATTGTTAGCATACTGACATACCAGAGGAAGATTGAACATACGCCCTGTGTTTTCAAATGTGTTCCTCGTAGGCAGTGATGGTGCTCATTGAAGTTCATCATCTGGAAATGATTAAACTGATCGGACACTTCCTTGATCTTCTCTTGCTCTCCTGGCTGGACGACCTCTGCACCCGGCGCGTCCCTATTATCCTTAGCTGTCATCTTAGAGTTTCCGAAATTTGTATTACCCACCACAGAATATATGTTTCCATAATCTTTCCTGGCGGTATAGGCTCTAACTTGTCTATCGGTGTTGTGTACGAACTTACTCGATGAGGAGGAGCTGACAAGAGGTCTTGATATACTTGACAGTATTTATCGGCCCTCCGTTGACCCGAACTAGACCTGGTCTCAAACTTCCGTCGTTCTAGGCGTAGTGGACTGGATTAAGAGGCTCACTGAGGCTTGGATGGCTTCACCTAGCATGAACGAGGACAAGCGATCACTCATTCGGCGATGCATAACACGTATGTTTCGAGAGATCGGCAACACGTATGTTATAGATGCGCACTTAATATTTGCTCTAGATCTTTCACTACGCCATTTTGAGGAAAGCTCAACTGTTACTACCTTCGTATGCTTGTATATCGCGGGGATGCGGGGTAGACTATAGTTCCCCAGACCCGGGCTAACCCGCCACAAAACTGTCTACCTCGTCATGTACCTTATAGTACTTTCAATTCTCTTACCATTTAAGACACAGAAAGAGTTATGCTCGTTCGTGACTAATAATATAGTCTCAACGTCGAGGAGAAAAGCACGGGCTCGTGGCATGGAGAAATACTAAAAGGGAAATAATGCGGCAAAGATAATTATATGTGAGCTTATAGAACCCAGAGAATTAGCTTAAATCGTAAACTACTATATCTATAGAGGCTTACTCCTGCCCTTGGCCCATCTTCCCCTGCTCTCCCTCCCTCCCTCTCTCTCTACCATACATATATATCCCTCATACCAACGAACACGTAGACTTTCTACGATCAAGATTATACCTCGCTCTTACTTCCTATGACTTCTGTAAGAACACCCATCATAATATCATAGGCAAGCCCAATAATCTGAGTCGACTTCTTGATTAATGGAGATGCTTCAAGAATTGCAACATCCTCTCGAATGCTATCTTCAATGCTAGTAAACATAATTAGTATAGTCGTAGGTAGAGCTGACACTCTAAGGCCTACCTGTCTTTGATCTCTCCGAATTTCATTCCCTCAATCGCCACCTTCTCACTAGGAGATTGTTCAATCAAAGCCTTTTTGACGGCGTCGTCATGAAAATGGGTCATACCACAATCTGTCGCGTATTAGTATACTAGATGAAGCTCTCTTCGCAGGAATGTGGTTTACCGGTGTGATGCATTACGACTATCGTTGTAGGATTGCCAATGGTTTGTAATACCGCCAATGTCCGAATCGCATCGAATGCTCTACCACCAGCAGTTCTCACCATCGTTGCTTTGAGAGTTGCCTCGATTCCTAGGATTTCGTATGGGTTGAGACGCGGATCGGAACAAGAGATAACCACGACTCCTTTTCCAGAGGCACGAAGAGCGGTGGCCATTTGGAGCAAGCCAGGTGGGGACTTATAAGTGGCTGCAAACTTGCTATCTATATGTAAGTAGTTTTCTTGGGGGAGGTCAGGTATTTGACTTGCGCGTTACGAGCTAACATCTCCACAACGGGTCCTGTAATCATCATTGCTGTTTGATGCAGGCTTGGAGTTTGATTTGCTTGGGTCGTTGTTGATATAATAGAAATACTTGTATAATGTATCTGATGAATGTGAACCTGTTGTATTTAGAGCAAGGGAAATTGCTAGGGATTGAAGTCGATTTATATATTAGATACCTAATTGCATTACGGCCGGAGTTTGACATGATTGTGATGACCAATATGCAATAGAATGTAGCAGATGGGGGCTTTCAATTAGCATGCTGGATGTTGAGAAATGCATAATGATTACTAACCAGCTTCGAAATACAATTTCGTGTCCCTTTATATTAAAGTAAACACCAGATATTAACATTGTGCGATACTTGCCACGGCCGTATCATCGCTATGCATAGGATTAGGTGTTCCGCGAAGAGTTTAAGTGGTGTGGACGTTGGATCACTAATCTGGCAAAGACAGCAAGCTTGTTTCCTTGCCTAAAACCCTGACCTACACTTCGCTTATATGAAAATCGCCGAGTAAAACATAAAGCAAGTTTTTGCACCAAAGCAATAGTACAAAACCGACAAAAGAACTTACCGTGTCGCTAGTTGCTATAGAACTTAACATCATACGAGAAAAAATCGCCTAGGGATAGTCTAAAGAAAGGATTTACCATATCAGCTTACGCCTTCTTGCCTTGGCGGAGGGTTGGAATGATAATTTGATACGCGGTCTCAATTCGTAGGAAACTTCCGTATATTTAATCGCCGAAACTGACTGTTGGCACCAATAAACAGCACGTGACAAAATATCATCACGTGCTGTTCACGGTATTACTTCGGGTACGCGGCGCAGCTGCTAGCACCGGTGGGGGCTTAATCTCCAGCTTCCCCAGCCCCGAGTCAGCCTAGCGAGAACATCTTCTCCACCAGAGTCCACCCAAATGACAGATTCCTGGGTCGGTCCAACACTAATGCCATTCGCCAAGGAACCAATTTCTCCTTCCTATCAAACATTGGATTGAAACTTCTATCACCATCACACTATCAATGCTCGAGAATGGCTTCGCTCACATGGGACTGGCGTACGAGAGATTCGGCGTTGCAGAACGATTTGTCCGAATATTCTATGATTACGAGGCGAATGTTGGCCTCGGAGGGTGTGGATGATCATGTGTTTGTTTAGACTGCCCCAGGTATCGTGAGTCTTGCCAAGCAGCCGAGAGACGAACGTAGGAGCGGAACATGAACTCTATATGATAACTTCTATAGTGTTTTACGGCATTCTCCATATGAGCCCACAAAAAGAAGAAGCCTCCCTCCCGGTGGGCAGAAAAAAGACGACACACCATTTACAATGTGCCAGGTAGGGTAGGACATTAAAAGTAGTAAGAGTAAGTGCCGCTTTTCGAGTCCATGTCTAGCATAGGGAAGCCCAAGGTTTTATGAGTAATAGTCATTTTGTGAGGAAATCCGTATACACTACAGGAGATAACATATTGGATCAACAAAGAACGCCGAAAAAGCCGTAAAGGGGGAAGGCATACCAGTGAGCAATTGCGTGGTGAAGCTTGGCTTGGGAAGAAAAAGAAACTAGGTGGGACGTATTTATTATGGGGTTCCGTGTACGAGTACGGCTGACGGGTTTCTCAACTCCATGTCCATCATCTCGAGTTTCCTCACCTCTCCTCCCCATCAGTTCTCACCAGCCTTCCTCTACAGAATAATCGAACACCTCTCAGAAGCGCCTTCGAAGCGAGAGCACCATGCTACCACTGCCATGATACCGCACCATGCTAGATGCTGGAATAGTATCGCATCTGAATGCTGCCATGAATTCTTATCGGCTGTTGATGAAAATCCCCGACCTACCCGTAACTCCAGCCATTGCAATTCGGACCGGCACAAGACGGAAAAAGCTTTGCTGGGCGTATACTGATGACGCAGGTACTCCGCCCGCCACGATGATAGAATATCGGTGTGTTGAGAATCCCCGCGTATCCGTTATGCTTTGCTATTACAAAAAACTTGGTACAATGTATAATACCCTCATGCTAATGAGGGGTAGTTCTTTCGTCGAGTCATGAAATTGTTGGTAGGTTACTTATCTCTATATATTAACGAGAAACATGACTCGGCTCGGTACGAGCCAATACTTTGGTTATAACAAGCATTCTAGGGCTGAATCCCTCTCCACATATTACGAGTACCGCCGGAGAGTACGAAGGAAGTGTTGAGTCTGGTGATAGAAAGGCAAGTTTTCATGCGCTCAGCTCTTTTTCTATCTGATCCCACTTCTGGTATAATAAACGGCGTAAATTTATAATAAATCCACCGAAATGAGAGAGTTAGCTGTTGCTGGAGAAGACTATGACGGGGCCTCTAACTTGGTTGAGGGTATAACTCCGGGAGATGCTGCTGTAGAGAGCCGTAAGTTCTCGGCGGCAGCGGGGCGGACGGGGGGCGGGGAATATTGGAGAGCGGGGGTTTCGGCCCTTCTCTAGAATCTCGATACCCACGTGTACCAAGGGGTATCCGCAACTCAATATATCCCCATAACTCTATTCCCCATGGGACACTGCAAGTGGTTCGCTGTTCTCTGCGGGGAGTCGCGGGTTAATATCGGCTGTCGATCTACTCACTAAATCTTTGGAAAGACGACTTCACACTGCCAAGGTCAGGCAATCATGCTACTGTACCATTATGGTGCCAACAAGAGTACGGAGAGTTCCTTGGATTATCCCACTTTCTATAGTCATGTCCACTTCTTGTCCTTTACTAGCACTTGATCAATTGAGGCGTGTGGATTATATAAAGAACCAGGATGCCTCTACATCTGCAAGCACAGATCTCACTTCCAGGCAATCTTGAGTATCTATCATGTTTTCCTCCCTGTTACCTTTGGCGGCCCTAGTCGCGCCCGCATTTGCTGTTGTGCAGCCATTGAACACTACAATCGTAGGGCAATATGGCAACGTACCCCCGGTCTACCCCTCCCGTAAGTCCCGCCCTCACGCTTTTTGCTGGCCCAGTTCTGACTTTCTTTTCCAGCAAATGCAACCGGTAATGGATGGGGAGATGCCTTCGCCAAAGCCCAGTCATTTGTCTCCAATCTGACGATTGAGGAGAAGGCAAATATGGTGACAGGTTATCCCGGCCCCTGTGTCGGGAACATCGTTGCCATACCCCGCCTTGGTTTTTCCGGTCTCTGTCTTCAAGATGGTCCTCTGGCCATCAGAGTCGTTGACTATGCAAGCGTGTTCCCTGCTGGAGTTTCTTGTGCCGCAACGTTTGATCGGGACCTCATCCGTGCGAGAGGGGTTGCAATGGGCTCTGAATTCAGAGGCAAGGGAGCTCACGTTGCTCTTGGGTACGTAATTCTCGTCCGTTATTTGGGACTTGTTCTGACCGAGTAGACCTGTTGCTGGCCCGCTTGGAAGGTCAGCCTATGCTGGCCGGAATTGGGAAGGATTCTCGCCAGATCCGTATCTGAGTATGTCAAACATATGGCAAGATGGAATCATGCTGACTTTTAATAGCTGGTGTTGCAATGGAGGAAACCATTCTAGGCATCCAGAGTACTGGTGTTCAAGCTTCCGCAAAGCATTGGATTGCATATGAACAAGAGGTGAGTTGATTTATTACTCTCGTGTGCTTCAAAACATCTTAATATATCACGTTTGTGATGCTGATAATTCTCTTACAGACACAACGAAATCCAACATACGATGACAACGGAGTGCTTATCCAAGAATCCGTTTCATCCAACGTTGATGATAGAACTCTACACGAACTTTACATGTGGCCTTTTGCCAATGCCGTCAAAGCCGGTGTCGCCAGTATTATGTGCAGTTATAACAGGCTAAACGGCACATATGCTTGCGAGAATTCAAAGGGTCTCAATGGTCTGCTCAAAGAAGAGTTGGGCTTCCAGGGCTACGTGGTCTCTGACTGGGGTGGAGTACACTCTGGAATGTCCTCTATCGAAGGTGGCTTGGACATGAACATGCCTGGTGGGCTTGGTGAGTATGGTTTGTATGATGCACCGCTTTCATACTTTGGTGGCAACGTGACACTTGCCGTCGCTAATGGTACTCTCGATATTACACGAGTTGACGACATGATTACACGAATCATGACACCATACTACTTCCTCGGCCAAGACAAGGACTTCCCCTCCGTTGATCCGTCAACGGCAGATCTCAATACATTCTTGCCTAGGTCTACATGGGTTACAGATTATGATTTGAATGGGACACGCAGCCGAGATGTTCGTGGCGATCATGCTAAGCTCATTCGAGAGATGGGTTCAGCTTCGACTGTCTTGCTCAAGAACGTCAACAACACGCTTCCACTAAAAGCACCAAAGTCGATCGCAGTGTTTGGGAATGATGCCTCGGAAGATACCCAAGGATTTTACAACCAGGTTAACTGGGAGTATGGTACACTCAGCGTTGGTGGTGGCTCGGGAACCGGTCGGCTGACTTCTCTTGTCACACCTCTTGAGGCAATCAAGGCGAAGGGCGCTCTCGTGCAGCAGTTCCTTAACAACACCTTGATTGCGACATCCAACATATCGGATCTCGTCAACCCGACACCTCCTGACGTCTGCCTTGTGTTCTTGAAGACATACGCAGAGGAAGGTGCCGACCGACTATCTCTGGACACCGACTGGAATGGAAACGAGGTTGTTGCGAGCGTTGCGGCATACTGTGCCAATACCGTTGTCATCACTCATTCTTCGGGAATCAATAACTTGCCATGGGCAGATCATCCCAACGTCACCGCTATTCTAGCTGGCCATTACCCCGGCGAGCAATCTGGGAATTCGATTGTGGATGTGTTGTATGGGGTAGTCAACCCTTCGGCGAAACTTCCATATACCATCGCATTGGAGACTGATGATTACAACGGGCTGCCGACTACGGCGGTCAATTCCACGGATCCAAATGCGTGGCAGGCCAACTTCGACGAGAAATTGGAGATTGATTACCGATACTTTGATGCCCAGAACATTTCAGTGCAGTATGAGTTTGGATTTGGATTATCCTACACGACATTTGAGATGTCGGATCTGCAAATTGTGCAGAATCAAGTGGCTGGGGACGAGACTATTCAACCAGGTGGGAAGCTTGAATTGTGGGAGGGACTATATACTGTGACCATAAATGTTACGAACACAGGAGCAGTTGAAGGGGCAGCCGTCCCTCAGCTGTATGTCAGCATACCCGGAGCGCCACCCAAGCAGCTAAGGGGGTTTGAAAAGGTCAACTTGGCAGCTGGTGCTTGTAGTAGCGTTGACTTTGTGTTGATGAAGAGGGATGTCAGTTACTGGGATATTGGGGTACAAGATTGGGTGGTGGCAGATGGGGTAGGCGTGCAAGTGGGATTCAGTTCAAGGGATATCAAATTAGTGGGAGCTCTTTGAGCCAAAACTAGATAGATAATCAAAAAAAATAAATTGTTAAGCAAAAACGAGGGCCATTATTAGAAGTCACGTTATCTACCATATGAAAAACCCGCAACCCACAACCACAGTGCGCATCCTTCTCACCACACCCTCAGATAGAGTAATGAGAGGTGGTGTTAGCCCAAGACTCATCTCCTTCGACCTTTTCTTTCTCGAACCCCTCCAAGAATTTCTTAAATATGGCCTATCACATATTCTCCTTGATGAACTTTCACCGCTCATCTTCTATATCCAGCTCCTCATATGCATGTTCAGGGTTAGCTTTCTCCATCTCCTCCGCCTCCGGTTCCTTCACTAAGAAGAATTCCGAGCCGGATTTAAGTTCTATCATTTGAGGATGGAGCTGGTAGCGGCAATAGTGCACCAACACTTCGACCCGATGCGGATTTATGTCTTTTTGATCGGCACGGATGACGAAAACCGATTCCACTTCCAGGTCCCATTTTTGAAGATTGGCAGTTGCCCATGTGTCGTCGTCGTCGGTAGGGTTGGCGTTCATGACCAAAAAGTATGGCTCATAGTTTTCATATGGGTCACCTTTCTCACACGCGAAATTTTGGGGACTTCGTTGTTTGATGAGACGTAGCGGGATCCCCATGTGCTGACAAATCTGGGATGAGAAGGCACGTTTCTTGGTGTTCTTTGATATGTTCATGGCAGCGTACTGTGAAAACCCGTGGAATCAGTACTACTTTAGGATATGCTCAAGAGCATGGCGAAGGCTGAAGCATTTCGGGAAATTGCAGGGTATCAGAAAAGAAGGGGATAGCATTCCAAAGCAACGCCAAAATACTCTACAGTATGACAATGGGGCCCCATTCTAAGCCGGCGTCATTCCGAAGCTACAACACAACGAAAAATCACTTTCTTCTGTTAGCCCTAGTGGCTCTGGCACCGACCTTGACCTCAGCCTTGCCCTTGCCCTTAGCCTTTTTGACTTTCTCTTTTTCCTTTTTTTCCTTCTTTCTCTTCTCCTCAGCAAACTCCTCTTCAATCTTTCCTAGAATAGGGCGGATACAGTGTCGCCATTTCTTCTTCTCAGCCTATGAAGAAGATTAGATATAGTGGAAGAGAGAGTGGATTACTTACCTCGGTATCTCCGAGAGCTGCCTGAACCAAACGGCTTCCAGCCCAACCAAAAATGCCTTCTCTGGTGAAGCACGAATGCCGACTGGCGCAGAGGACACAGCGCTTGCCATTCCGGGGGAGATCTCGGCAAGGACCCTTCAATTGCCCCTGAAGAGCAGATTTGATACACCCAAGACATGGTATATCACGAGGAACCGCTGCTACAGGAGCAACGGCAAGGGCAGCAGCAGGAGGAGGGCCAGGCTTAGCTACTAATTCAAGCACAGAGGTAGCAGGAACAATAGCCAACGGGCCACGACGAACGGAGTTTGGACCCTACAATCAGTCAACCATGAATATACATCACATGAGGATAAAGCAACCTACCGAACCAAACGGGAATATTGTCACCTTCTTCTCCTCCCTCTCTCCTTTTCAAGATGAGTATTCAAACCCTCTCTGTTGCTAGAGCTAGCAGCTTCCCGTTGACTTGCCTTGGGTTTTTTCCTTCAGTTTCACGTCTTGTATCTAAGTACTGGGTCTGGTGACACTTGACCCATACGTATTGAGGCGTTGTAGCGTCGACCGGAAATAGCAGGCCGAGTCTGAAGACGGTAGATTCTGTAACATGGGGGTCTTGGAATCCAAACTCTTCATCTTCGACTGGACTGTCGGCAGCTCGAGGATGGGTGGAGGTAAACTCGGTGAATTGATGACAGAAGTTCTTGTGAACAGGCAGATCTTTGGTAATGCACTCGAAAGAGCAGTATGCGGAGGATTTGCATATTGAGCAGATGACTGGCGCTGTCTTGTGGCAGACTGTACATTTGGGGGAACTCGTGGCGATGGCTTTGATATCTGACTGTCGATCTTCTTGCTAGTATCGGAGGATTGGAGCAGTCGAAGAACTTACATTCTCCGATCCGATCTTGGAAGAGAGACAAAGTTGATGACACGGGGGATGATTCTTATCAGAATATTCTGTTGTCCTAAACAGTCAAGTAAGTGAATATTAGATCTAAATCACGTCTGATAGCGATGAGTCCTGATTACTTACATTCGATGTCAACTGAATTGCGATTTAATTAGTATCTTTCTACATCTTTCATTGCTGTCTTGATTTATAGAGGGTCGCCTGTAGAATGTTTCTTGCCTGGCTTCAAAGCATCCAAATACAATCATTCGAATCAATCAACCAGCGAAGGATGTGTCTGCTATGCACTCTCAAAAGCACCATTCATGCAGCACCAATTTGCAGGTGTCTTGACCGTATTCAAGATCTTCCCTTGATGCCCTTACCATGTGAGGCAATTAGGCAAGATTAAAGATTTCTCCATTGATATCATCTCGGCGTGAAACATTGGAAATGCCTTCTAGGCTGACGCCAACTCTGTTTATGAACTTGCGAGATTAGAGGATTCTTTTGTTTCTTGGAAACTGGGCAAATTGGGTTATATTGTCCCAACTGTGAGAGTTGCAAATTAGTCAGAAAAGAGTTGTTGGCAAGCCTTGCTTGTAATTAGACCAAGGTATCTTGAACAATACCCTTGTAACGGGCATTCAAACACAACTAACAAGTCAATCACCACTCAGCCCGTTTTCACGAAAAAGCAAGCCCGAGATTCCGAGATAAAAAAGGGTACCAAGATTTCCGATCTTCACTACCTCCTAAACGAATAACGCCACAACGCCAAAAGTGACCGACCAACCATCCATTTCCCTATCGTATAATCAGCATATGCTATCCCCACCATCATGATCTTTAGAACCAAATCAATAACTCACCGAGCTCTAGCCTCTAGACCCTACCTAACATACCCATCTCGCAATTCCAAAAATCCACGAGTCCCAACCTGCAAAACCACACGCATTAGTGCCATGCATCTCATCCCCGTGACTCCACACACAAACACAAACACACACGCAAACCACGGCACAAGTAAAACTCACCCCCTTCCTTTACTTCCCATCCTCCTTCTCCTGCCCTTCCTTCTCTCCCCCCTTAACTTCCACTTCCACTTCCACTTCCACTTCCACCCCTCCCTTCCCCTTCCCCTCCACCATCCCCGCTTTAATCAACCCCGCCGTCCTCCTCGCCGCCTTCCTCCTCTCATTCCTCGACGCATTCTTCGTAACCCGATTCCCCGTCGCCGTATTGCGCGGTTGGGGATTCTTGGTCTTGGCCTTAGGTGCTGGGTGGCGGGAGGATTTGAAGGCTTCTTCTTGGGATTTCATTCCTGCGGTTGTGGTTGCGGTGTGGTGTGGTGTGGTTGGTTGGTTGCTTAATGGAAGGAAGTTTTTGGCGCGAGGAATTATTTTTTTCGGAAATTTTACTTAGATCCAGGCCAGGGTCTGGTGGGGTCGAGGTCAGCGCTGCCCTAAGGGATTTGCAACTGGTGCGTATCAAAATAGTGCTTTACTTTGCTTTTTATATAGTTTTATATATATTGCTTTTTCACTATAATATGCTAGAGCCAGCTAGTTACTGGATTACTTGCTTTACCTAACTTACATATGCATGGAAATAAATAAATCCAAGTCCAAGTCTAATATCACGTGACCATACAGCCCGTCTCTGCTTCTTGTGTTATGCTAGAGCTTTATAAGTAGACGTTTTTACTCTAGTATTTCGCTTTGCTCCGTAGGGTCCGTAGGATAATGATAAGACTGAAGGAAATTTGGGTTTATACCAAGACAGACCATACCTTATTTCCCACCCTGTTAATAAGCTCAAGTACACTAGTCAGTAACTGTTTCTCACAAAATAGCATACATCACAACTTATATACATCACAACAATCATCAAGGAGATAAGTATATATAATTCCATATTTATTCCCTTCCTTCCTTCCTTCCTTCCACTCCATCCATATACCATGCTATATCAACCAATCAACCAATGCATCAATCACTCCATCCATCTATAATTATTTCCACGCATTCAACCCCGCCCACGGATCCCCACCTTGACCTTGCTGCCCCCCATTCCTCTGCTGCTGCTGACCTCCACCGTATCCATAATCCTGCTGCCCATACGTCTGCTGAGGTCCCAAAGGCGGTGGTCCAGGTGGAGGAGGTGGTGGAACATATCCATGCGGTAAATGACCCGGTCGAGGACTCTGCGGTTGCCGGCCATAGCTCTGGTGGGCTTGCGAGAATTGTGTTTGGTTTGGAGGCGGTGAGGTATGTTGGGGTCGGCCGTAGTTTTGTTGCGCGAATTGCGTTTGGGTGGGGGGTGGTGAGATGGGTTGGGATGGCCGGCCGTAGTTTTGGGTGTTGGGCGGGAATTGGCTTTGGGTCGCTGGGGCGGAGAGGGGTTGTGATGGATCTCGGGGGAGGTAGTTGCTTGGATTATAACCACCTTGGGTTTGAGGTTGTGGTGTTTGCTTTGGGGAGTATATGTCATTTGGGCGTGATTGAGATTGTGGTTGAGGAGGGTATTGGCTTCCGTTCTGGGCGTAAGCAGGATGATTCGATTGGGCGAAGGGTTGAGAATGTGGTGGTGGTGAAGTCTGGTATTGTCCAGTCAAGTTCGTGGCCGGATACCTTGTAGTGGGCGAACCTGATTGGTGTGATTGATATGACATTGATTGCGCGCGAGGTGGCTTTACAGGTGAAGTGGAAGGATCCATTGACATACGCTCCATGAGACCACGTAGGCGCTCTCGCTCTCTATCGGCTTGCCCGCCGACATTGGCTGCTCGTTCTTGCTCAATATGACTGAGAAGTTGTGCACCTTCCGATCTTCGATTGTTCACAAATGTCTCCACATTCTTGTCAAGGCTGTCCACGGTATCTTTCATCTCACTATACCATTGCTTCGCACTTTGAAGGCCAGCCTCGAGATCTAAGAATTCTTGGTATACCCTTCTATACTTGGATGTAACAGCTCCTTTTTGGCGGTTTATTGTTTCATATTTGCTCTGTTCAGATCTCACTCTCTTGTCTTGCAATAGCGTATTAAAGGTAGATGTGAGCTCTTTCATCAATGAAGATTGTTTGTGATTTGCTGTGATGAGTCGGTTTTGGTGTGGACGGAACTTTTCAAGTTCTGCTTGGAACAGTTGAGTTTCATACGTTGAGATGGCCTTCTTGTTAAGTATTAGGACTTGAGAGATATCATCGTTGTGAACCTAAATTTGTTAGCGAGCATAATATCAGTGATACACGTTATGTATACCTTCTCCTTCAAATCTTTCAATACTTGCGCCCTTTCGCGCTTAATCAGATTCAGCTTCTTCAGTATCTCCTCTACTTTGTTAACCTGATCCATAACACTCATGCCATTATCCTCAAAGTCATCGTCCAAAAGGTTCCCTTCCGCGCCAATCGGACTTCCAACACCTCTCTTGCCACCAACTTGAATCAGCGCTTTTTGGAAAAGAACATCTGCCTCTCCACTCTCTCCAGCTGATCGCATCTCATCGAAATCGACTTCGTGTTGCCGCATCTTGGAGTATAATTGACTGTCACTCCGTGCTGCCTCTTCAAGAGCATCCCTATAATTCCTTATATCATTCCGAAGAGTCGTCGTTAATCTCGAACTTGGTTGCTGTGTCCAATCCGCTTCGTACTTTGATCGCATCTTCTCGCAAACACTTTCTTCCATGTCCAACTGCTTGCTACTCTTATCCAGTACCGTAATCACGTCCTCTTTTCTTGATTTTAGAAAATCAAAAACACTACCAGGATGATCATGATTTGCTACATCATCACACCAACCTCGGTATTCATCATCTGCTGTTAATTCATGGTCGAACCCCCCTTTCAGAACTTGTAAAGCGCCTGGCAACCTCAAATAGTCTAAACTCGCCGCCATTTCTCCATTTGCAGTCTCTGCCCGCTCAGTCTCGGCTCGAAGCAACTTGGCCTTCTCCTCGTCGTATAGACTTGCTGATTCCGTGACAGACATTGGCACGATCTTCTGGAAGATATCTGGACCAGTGATACGCTGAATATCTTGCCCTGCATACAACTCACTAACAGGGATCGCTTTAGCTGCAGGAAGCTTGGGGATGACTGCAAGACCCGCTTCTACAGGTACAGTCTGGTGGTAAATGTAGTCGTTGTCCTTGACGAGCTCAACGAGTTTCTCTTGAACATTGGCGAGATGGCGTTTCGTGAGTTCAAATAGATTAGGTCCTGTTTCTGCAGTGAGATTTGAGTTTGCTGGGACGTTTCCGGGGAACGAGTTTGATAGCTTATTAGCTTCCTTGGCCGCAGTTTCTGCGACCTGCAGACGCGAGATGGCTACGCCATGGGAATTCGCGTCATCATCTGCAAGTGCTTGATAATACTGGGCTACAGATGCCATATGATGTGCTTTAATCTGTAAAGTAGTTAGATGGCTGTCCCAGTGTAGGTATTGAGGCATTGTAACTCCGAAACCGCATTTCGAGCTTCCTCTTTTAGTAATAGGAGGTTATGAGCATACCTGGACTACCAAAAGCCACACTTTCTCAAAAACAGCCTTGTTGACATTCTCTTGCGTTCCCTCCACAGCTTGAGCATATAGATACCCCGCTTGACTCGCAAGTTTCGCCAGCAATCCAACCTTCTTGCCATCCGCAATCTGCTTCTCCAAGAAAACCTCCTGTCCCTGAGCAAGCATAATCTGTATGAGCGTTTTGACCGTATCCCGACTCAGATCCGTAGAAGGTGCATGTAGGAAGTTCTCATTGATATACGTAAACATGCCCGCGGACGCTTGAAATGAATGATACGCCGTCTTCAGGCCAGAGTCCTCGGACCGCGTCTGGTGAGCGGCATGACAAGACAGCACTGCGGAAATATTGAAGATTATAGAGGCCTTTTCGTATGCGAGGGAGTATTGAGAGGTCGGTTTATGTGTAAAGGCATCGAACCTGTCCCCCAAACAAACATTAGCCAAGGCCGCCCAACATGCCTCCATTGCAGATAAAGCCTGCTTTGCTTGTCTTACCAAGTAAAGGAGATCTTGATATGGTTCTCGTCGACGGGGAACCGCAGGTCTAATAACTCGAGCTGGCCATAATATCTGTACAGCAGATCCCTCCCCGCAGCGCTGTCCTTGCCGGCACCCCTCATGTCCTGCCGTAGCCGGTTCAGCGTCGCGCACTCTTCAGCATAGCGCTCTGGATCATCGCCGTATGTCTGGCGGATGTAGCCCTTCAGCGGCAGGATCCAGTCTATCTCGTTGGTGGCCTTTAGAGGCACGGAAATCATGGGTGCCTGCATGTTGGCATTTGATCGTTGAGGAACCCAGAGTCAAGCTGAAGGGGGATTTCTTTTGCTTGCGCAGAGCTGGTTTGGAACTGGGCGGCTGGAGGTAGGTGATGGTCGTGAGGCGATCGAACGTGGGTTTCGCGATAGGCGGGGTGTTCGTGGCGGTTTGTACCTGGTCTCGTTGGTGTACCTTGCTGTTGTACGGTACCTTGCTGTGCGGTACCTTGGCCGTGGACTTGGTTTATAAAGGATGGGATGCCCCTAGCTTAGCCTGATGCGCTCAACGTCATAGGTGCGACTCATAGTCCTGGCCTGGTGTGGTGTTGTTTATTAGACGTGCACGATGTCTATAGGTACAGTAAGTAGGAGGATTCGTCGGTGTGGTGTTGATATTGAGTGGGTATGTGTACGGGTACGGGTACGGGTTACGAGTACAGTACGAAGGTACAAGGAAAGTAAGTTCTGAATACCATCCATCTACTTGTACGGAGGAAGTTCTTAATCTTTGGCTACCTAGGTACCTAGACCTAGGTACTGAATAGATCATCCATCTGGCATGACATGGTAGGTATTGGCACGGTTGGATGGCTTAATAGCTAACGTACAGTAGAATAGTCCACAACTACCTACTATAGGTACTAGCCGTATAGCTTCAGAAGCCTATTCGATGCCCTTCCCCTTCCCTCCTGCAGACGGCGGAAACGGCAAGCACAAGCACAATCACCTGCAGCAAGGCAGAGCAAGGCAAGAATCTGTGGCCATTTAACAGGCCGTGGAATGCATTAAATGCCGATACTTACTCACTCCATTGATCTATCCCATTGTCCTGTTTCTCTCTCTACTCCGTACACTCGCATGCCTACCTAGGTAGTTATTGTACGAATTAAGCGCCGAGGCGAGGCTTATTCAATGCGAATATGACCATGACTTCCCCCTATCACCCCCTTTCCAACTCAACACCCAACATCGATCCAATCTCCATTAGCCGCCGCCTCTTCAGAAACGCTCTTCCTCCAGGCCCACCTTTGACCTTTGGTCAGGCCTCGATGGGGTGGGGGAGAGGAACTAATATGCAGTGAGCATCCAGTTGCACCTTCATATGCCAGATTCCCATCACCATTGGCTACAAGTCCATGTGCCGAACCTCTCAATCACCACCATTCATCCATCCATGCCATACCAAACCACACGACCTCGAGCTCAAGGAAGGGTAGGGCCTAACCGAGCGGTCCGTGGCGCAACTCGACTCGACTCGCGAGAGGTGTATTTTGATTGATTCATACAGTACGGTACGGTACGATACAAATACGGGATAGAATAGATGATGATGATGATAATGGATCCTTTTCTTATGCTATGCTATACAAAGTAAAGCCTACCTATCTATCTATATAGCACGCCTAGGTCCTTTCTGCCCGAGCCAGATACCTGATCCTCAGATAGTACCTACCTACCTAAATCCTCTAATCCAATCCACCCACCATATAACCATCCATATCAGTAGCACAGAGCCCTGCCCTGCCCCAGCCTTCCACGTATATATACATACATACATACATACATACAACTCCAGAAAGAAAAAAAGATTTACCAAGAAAATCTCCTCGGCTAAGCCTATCAAGTGCAATAGAAATGTCTGTTATACCTCTATACATTTCCTCACTCAAACCATAGATAGCTATCCTCACCCACCTACTACAACAAGTAAGGGTAAGCTGTAGGTTGAAGCCGCCCGCGAGTTATTTACACTTGATGAATGAACAAATGCTAGAATCACTAGTTTTACGAGGAGAATAACTTATGGTGCAAGTGGTAAAAGGTACAAACAAGACAAGCCCAACGATCTTGAGTGGAGTCTAGTACTTGAGTCCCCCCTATGTAAATACCACCACTTGAATATACATATACAGTGACAGACAAACCCAGCCATGCTTTCTAAATGCGGATAGACGTCTAGACGCCTTGGCTCCCTCCATTCCATCACTCATTCTCCTCTCTTTCTCTTTCTCCTGCCAATATACAAACTGTTATACACGTACAAGTCTATCTATCATATCATATCAATCTCCGAATCTATCTATATATGAATGCATCTACGGCTTCTTCTCCCCCGTCTTATCGTCCGCCGAGCGCGTGTCAGACGCTGAGCTCTTCTTTTCCGAAGCGTTCTTCATAGCGTCCTCGACCGCTTCCTTGGCACCACTACCGTCATCTGTGAGTTTGTGCCAGACGGATTTGAGGAATCCCTCTTTTTTCGAATGGCTGTGAGTACGGAGTCAGAAACGAAACGAAAATTTGTTTGAGTCTTCATTTGATTGCTTGATGACTTACTCGTCATCTTTCTTCCCAACGTTCATCACTCGCTTGGCTGTCTTGTCGTTCAGCTCATCGGCTAGCATCTCGAGGATGGTCCGTTGGTTCGTGTTGAGGTATTTCGGCATGGCGACTTTGAATTCTACTTTCAGGTCTCCGGAGCCTGTTCTGCGGCCTTGCAGCTTCTTCATGCCCATTCCGGATAGGGTGATTCTGTCGCCAGTGGCTGTGCCTGTGGCGATTTTGACCTTGACTTCTCCATCTAGAGTGGGGATGCTGACTTCGCCTCCTAGCATAGCCGTGGTGACGGGAATCGTAGCCGTGTACAAGACATCGGATCCTGAGCGGCTGAATTTGGGATCCGTAGCCACCCTGACGAGAACGTAGAGATCTCCCGGAACGGAATTCGCACCTGGATTCGCGGACTTTCCAGTAACGGGCGCGTCTCCCTCTCGATCCAACCTCAGCCGCATCCCATCCTCAATACCCCCGGGGATATCTACATTAATCGATTTCTTCGCATGAATGACCCCATTCCCAGAACATGATTTGCACTCTGAGCCCTTGGGGACTGTGACTCCGCTTCCAGAACAACCCGTACACGTAGTCGCCATCTGAAAGCCGCCTCCCATATTAACCACGCGCGTCCCTGTCCCCCCACAACTTTTACACTCGTTCTTTTTCGTGCCCGGCTTCAGCCCATTGCCCGAACACGTCTTACACGTAACCAACGGCGTGATAGATATACTCTTGGTCGTCCCCTTTGCAGCCTCCATGAAGCTGATCGTAGTCTGCACATCGATATTATCCCCTACCAGGACCTCCTGCTGGAACCCCCCTTGTCTCCCAGATCTGCGTGCCCCACCAGCAGCACCACCCGTAAAGCCCCTAAACAGATCCTCGAAATC